GATGGACCCAGAGTCTGTCATACAGACTCTGGGTCCATCCACCTCACTACAAATAACTCAATTTCATTTCTTTTTATGGCTGAGTAATACTCCATTGTACACATGTGCCACATCTTTCTCCATTCATCTGTCGATGGACACTTAGGCTGCTTCCATGTCCTGGCTATTGTAAATAGAGCTGCAATGAACATTGTGGTCCATGACTCTTTTTGAATTATGGTTTTCTCGGGGTATATGCCCAGTAGTGGGATTGCTGGGTCATATGGTAGTTCTAATTTTAGTTTTTTAAGGAACCTCCATACTGGCTGTACAAATTTACATTCTCACCAGCAATGCAACAGGGTTCCCTTTTCTCTACACCCTCTCCAGCATTTTATCCAATCTACTCTTAATGAGATTTAGACTGTTCTTTCTTTGCAAGGATTATAGACATGATATCAATATTCTTTTGCATGTCTCCTGGGGTACACGTGCAAGAACAACTCAGGGGTGTGCATCTAATAAAGAATTGTTGGGGGCTTCCCTGGTGGCACAGTGGTTGAGAGTCTGCCTGCCGATGCGGGGGACGTGTGTTCGTGCCCCGGTCCGGGAGGATCCCACGTGCCGCAGAGCGGCTGGGCCCGTGAGCCATGGCCGCTGAGCCTGCGTGTCCGGAGCCTGTACTCCGCAACGGGAGAGGCCACAGCAGTAAGAGGCCCGCGTACCGCAAAAAAAAAAAAAAAAAAAATTGTTGGATCATAAGATATAATGAGTGGCTAAAGCAACTCCCAGATGAAGTTGCCATTAAATAACATGGGGAAGGCTCTGGCAGAGATGGTATTTGGGGGAAATGCAAAAGTTCAGTTTTGTGCATGCTGATTTTGAGGTATTTTCAAAATGACTTCTGAGAATAACAAGTGAGTGTTTTGTAAACAAATCTGGAGTTTGTGAGAGAGGTTATAGGTAGAGATACAAATTTGGGAGTTGTATCAATCAGGAAGATTTCAAGAGCGGTTTAATGAAAGTACTATTTTAAAAAGATACTTAAGTATCCAGGGGACTAATTAACAACAAACCACTGTGAACTCCTAGGCTGAAGGGAAAGGGAGAGGAATCAGTCACTAGAACGCTGAAGAAAGATGTTCTCTCTCTCTCTGTCTCTATTTCATGGCTCGTGGTTTTGTTTTTATTTTATTTTTAAATTTTTAAAAAATTAACAATAATTTTATTTGTTTACTTTCACCTGTGTCAGCAATTTGGGGTTTTTTTTTGTTTGTTTGTTTTGGGGGGAGTTTTTTGCCACTGGTTATTTTATTTATTTATTTACTTTATACAGCAGGCTCTTATTAGTTATCTATTTCATACATATTAGTTGTATATATGTCAATCCCAGTCTCTCAGTTCATCCCACCAACACCCCCCGGAGCCCCGGTTTTCTAAAGAGGACAATTCCAACAATTAAGTCCCTAAAAGATCAGGGTGGGAGACACTGCCCCCAGCTGTGACGGTTCCTCCTCAAGGATCCCAGCACAACGCAACAGGGACATGGCAGCCATGGCCAATGTTAAAAGATA